TACAAGAACAAATGACAAGATAAATGAAAAATCAGAAATGATAGAAAATCTAGATAGAAATCCAGAAGATTAATACTAAATTTTCAGAAAGAGATAACACATTGAACAGGCAAAGGAGTAGAACTGCATCAATTGAAGACAGAATTAGTGAGACTGAAGACAAATACCTCAATACTGCTTGGAAAAGGCATCAGTCAGAAAAAAAGATCAAAACAAAATGAAGAAAGTCTAAGATTCAAGTGGAATACCATCAAGAGGAATGACCTATGTATAATCGGAATTCCACAACAGGAAGTGATAAACAAAACCACAGAGAAAGTTGCCAAAGATTTGTTGGAAGAGAATTTCCAACAAAGAGAACTTCCAAGAGATGATAAAGGGAGTCCTATGGACAGAGAACCAACAACAGCAAACAATAACCAACTATTAACACATATGCTGCCATAACCCAAAAACCAACCCAGTTATGGAAGTATCCAAAGTAAAATAAGCTTTTAAGAACATGAACAGGAAACAAGAGATTTTAACTGGCAAATGAAGACAACCACAAAACGAAAAAGAGAAAAAAAAAAAAAAATAGTGTACTTAGAGAACTTCTAAGTGGTAAGGAATTTAAGACAATTGTGAGAGAAAACAGACTGTTCTAACCTTGGGAAGAGAATTATAATCACAGAGTAACTTCAAAATAAAATAATAAACCTTTACATCAAAATAAAAAAGGCAACAAGCACAAAAATTTAACAAATACTAAAACAACAGCAACAAAGGAAATGATAACACAATTCATAAACATAATGAGATCACTACAGAAAATTATATGGAATAAAGAAACCAGGAAAACCATGAAAAAACACATAGCAAAATGACAGCAACCAATTCATATTTGTCGATAATTACACTGAATGTTAAATGTATTAAATGTACCACTCAAGAGACAGAGTTGCAGACTGGATAAGAAAACAAAACCCATCAATATACAAGAGATACACCTTAGAGACAAAGACAAACACAGACTGAAAATCAAAGGTTGGAAAAGACATATCAAGCAAATGACAATAAAAAAAGAACAGGAGTGGCAATATTAATTTCTGATAAAATTCATTTTAAGACAAAAAAAAGTAAGAGACAAAGAAAGACATTATATAGTGATTAAAGGATCAACTGAACAAGAGGACATAACCACAATAAACATCCATGCACACAATGAAATAGCCCCAAAACACATAAATCAGATTTAACAGAATTGAAAAGACAAATAGATAACCCCACTGTCATAACAGGAGACTTTAATACATCACTTTTAATGAAAGGTAGAACAAGAGGAAAGAAACTCAACAAAGACACAGAAGAACTAAACAATACAATCCATCAACTTGACCTTATAGACATCTACAGAGCACTTCACTCAACAACAGCAACAATATACATTCTTTTCCAGTGCACATGAAACATTCTCCAGGATAGACCATATGTTAGGCTGCAGAGCAAGCCTTAATAAATTTAAAAACACTGAAAAACAGCAAAGCATCTTCTCATATCACAATGCTATAAAATTACTAATCAGAAATAGGAAGATCAACAAAAATTAGAGCAAAGACGTTGAAACTGAATAACATCTTCCATTTAATCAACTGGGTAATAGAAGAAATAAAAAATGAAATTAAAAAATTCCTTGAATCAAACAAGAATGAAAATACAACATACCAAAATCTTTGGGACACAGCAAAA